AGTGGGCTAAAGTGCAGCACCGCAAGTAAGCCCCAGCCACCTCAGTGTCAATTCTATCCCCAGCCCCGGAGGTGATCCACATGGCGTGGCAGACCTCTCCTGAGCTGCCTGCTGTGTATTTCAGTAGATCTGCCTGTTCTGCTGCCTGCTCTGTCTCTGGTGAATCCTCTCACCGCCCCTGTACCCCAGGTCTGTATGCATAAATAAATAAATCCTTTTAAAAAACAACTGACCATTGAGGAAGGAGGAAGATGGCTTTAAATTTTTGGTTTTTTGGAGGTTGTACCTCAGGAAAACTTAAAAAAAAAAAAAAGCCCCATGTTCATTTCATATAATCCAATTTACACAAAATATATGCACAAAAGATTGGAAAGATAGTGCCCTAGATCTTCTGGCTGTCTGAGTTGAGCTGTGGGGAAAAGGAGACGTTGCAGGTGGTGCTTGTGTACAGCAGACACAAGATGCAGACAAGTGTCCTCAGCTGCCAGCCACCTCAGCTTGAGATGAATCTCTTGATTTAAATCACTTTGTGTGTTTTATTAATATTATTAATTTATTGCATGTCATTAATATTATTGTAAAAAAGTTCTGGTAGACCCATGGGAATTAACATTCTGGGACTGTGGTAAAGTGCTGGCTATGTTGCTAACTCAGCAGCTTAAAATGTGCACTCCTAAAATATGCTGGTCCTCTCCCCTCCTGATCTGAGATGGTCTTCTGGTCTAGACTTGGACCCTGTGGGTTGCCTGGTAGGTTGTACTGGCCCGGTTCCAGGCCTCCTGGATTTTGTCACCCTCCAAGTGGTTGTGATGACAGCCATTGTGACAATGATACCTTTGAAGAGCATGGATTTGTGTTCTGAGAGGCAGTTAATTGGAAGCTCCACTGGATCCTGCTATTAATTGGCATTAGGGCAGACTGAGAGACATCCTACTCTGGGTCGTGTTGTCCCCTTTTCAGGCTTCGGGGTGTTAACTAACTGTGAGGCTGTTGAGGGACCTCTCCCTGCTCTGATCCATCAATGTCTTTCCAGCTCTGTGGACAGACAACTGTGGTGTCTGGTGGGCTCAGCCCCACCTTCTCCTCCAAGCTACTCCAGTCTCACCTCCCACATCTGCTGCACAGTAGTCAGCCAAAGATAAGAGTCAGAGGGACCAGACCCTTAAGCAGATTTGTGAGGTGTGCTCTCGCTCGGGTTCCTTCTTCCTTTCCCGCACCCCACCATGAAGTTCAGCCTCTGGTGCTGCTTCCTATTGCCACCACCCAAGGAAGCTATTGCTGTCTGGGCTCCCAGTTTCTGAAGGATTGGGGAAGTGGCCCTCGGCAGAAAACCAGAGTGAATGTGGCACTGAACCTTTTTCTAGGATCCTGATCAGAGCCCTAGGCTGTCCACTGTCCAGGAACTGAAAACTGCCTCCTTCTGTATTTAAGCTCACTTGTATAGTTTTTTGCTACAAAAGATAAGCCAGAACTAGAAATTGAGATCCATGTAAGCCTACTTCAGCTCTTGCCAGTCCTGGAGAAAACAAACAAACAAACTGAAAGTTTTGTCCCTCATTTATCACCAGCCCTCAAAACCCAAGCAGTGGTGGACCACATTCTGGCAAGAGTGTTTCACTGTGTAGATACTTTCTGCGTAGCCAAGGCAGAGCAGGGACAGGACGCACAGTTGGCACTCAGTATGTGCAGTGTTGTTAAGCTAGCAAGGACTAACCAAATAAGCAGGGTGAATGCTGTCAAAGCTCCTAAGTAGAACATTGCCTCTTTGCGTCACATCAGAACCCTTTGTTATAATCTATTGTGCCTTTTGGAATGACATCCCATCTCCCAGGGATAAGTGGTAGAATCTCTTCAGATGGTGGTGGCTATTTTTTTTTGAGACTTCATGGTAGAGTTGTATAGTGAGCAAAGTGAGACTTAGAAAGTGTCCAAGTTGTTAGCACCCCCTCTTCACTCTTAACCAGTCTAAAGCATGTAACTTCATCCTTCTGAGCCTTTCTTTGAAACAGCAGGGGTAAGCTTTATCTTGAAGTGCTATTGTCAAGATTACATAAGATAGTGTATGCCATCCCCCCAAAGAATATTCAGTAACTTTTAATTATTTTACTTGCCATTTGTTACTCTTTTTATCAAGAATCCAGGTTGCTCAGGAAAACATAAGTAGATGAGGATAATTTTGAAAATGAGCCCAGCAGTATCAAGCTGTTTCCTTGAGAATAGTTCTTCAGAATTTGGATAAACGCTAGTTCTAGGGTGAGTTGGAACATGTGATGCTTCCTTGTGAATTGGTGTGGGCACTCTTTAGAACTGTGGACTCCACTTCCTGTGTCCATCAGCTTGCTGCTGAATCCCCCAAAACCATGGACAACTGGGGCAGCAGTGCATGCTGCCAGGGCATGGGGCTGAGCCAGAGCCTTTAAGAGAGCCTTTCAAGGCTGGGTCATTGGCGGCCTGGCCACAAGACCTGTTTTTCAACTTGAAGGAAGAATATCCTGGGTATGTTTGTATTTCCTGATCAAAACCAGCCATTGACGTCAAGAGTTACCTCTGTTGTTAAGAAGTTGTGCCTTGTGTTTTTCTGTACTTTAGCTTTGCATGTTTGGACTTAGAGAATATTTGTTTTTACCAGTTTTGAATCAAATAATATCATCTAAAATCTGAATAGCATCTTCTTTTCAAAACATTTCATATATTTTAATTTTATCCTTGTGGAAACTTTTGTTAACAGTTTTATGTGTATTGCTGCTTTTTGGTGAGACTCCAGAAAGTGACTGTCCAACTTGCAGAGTTCTTAAAATAGTGGGACTGAAGCTAAGCCCAGACCTGGGAACTCTGACCAGTGCTTCTCCCACTGCACTGATGAGCTGTTTGGGCTGGATGGCGCAAGTACGTTTATGAGAAAGTCTCCTAGTCATGCTCTTGTTTTCTCCCTCATTACCTCTGCTTTTCAGGTAGTGACAAACTTTCCTGCTTTCCCTGAGACTATCAGTTGAACTGTATGAGAGTTTTATAATGAAAGGCAAAAGTCCTTTGCATATATATAATTTTCATCTGTTATCTAACCTTCACATGGACTGTGTCTGAAGACCACTGAATGGCATGTAAGGAGAGTGGAGAGGAAGGAAAACTCAGAGCAGAAGGTGCCAAGTACCTTGCAGGTGTTTAGCCAAGCTTCAGGCCACCTCAGCCTACTTCTGTACACACACCTGCCCAGGTTGAAATGCCAGCACTCATTTCTCATTTTGCTCTTAGGAGGGAGGTATTCGGGAGGTTTTTAAAAGACTCTGTTTATATCTAGAAAGGCTGGTTAGTGGTAACAGACTTAGGTTGGCAAAACCAGCCAATTGCTATTGCTCTAAAGCTACCTGACTTAAAGATTTTTCATCTTTCTGCTCTCAAAATGTATGTTACTCTGCCTGCCTCCCCTCCCTTCATTCCAGAAAACAGGGATCAATTCTCTGGGAACTGGGAGTTTCTGTATTATCAGCCACGATTGCATGGGATGCCCCAGGGTTTTCCCTAGATGCCTCCTCAGGCCTGAAAGCTTTTGGATGGAACACCATGAAAAATGCCACTTGTAAGTTTAGAGTACAGAGAGGAATTTAACATAACTGAAAATTCATATCAGTACATGGTTATCAAAGATCAACTATATACATAGTATAGTTCTGATTCCTAATGAGCTGTTACTGATGGTCATTTATGGCAGAAAGTGAAAACAAAAACAAAATCAAAAACTACTGAACTAACTGGCTGACTTTGTGACCTGAGCAAAATTACTTCAGTGTTTGTGCCTCAGTTTCTTTATCTATAAATAGCGAAAAGAATAGCACTCACCTCATAGTTTTGTTGTGAAGATTACATGTGTTGATTAATCCAAAGTGTTTAGAGAAATGCTTTGTGTAAAGTAAGTGCTTTGTAAATATTAGCCGTTATTATATAATTGAGCCCATGTTGTTATGTACCAAGCTGTCATTGGGTTTTATCAGTGTTAGCTATTGCTGTCGTCATTCTTGTTATCATTGTATTTCAGATATGTGAGCTTTGGAATCTTTGAAAAGAAGTTTAAAAATTTGGTTTTAGTCTATAATCACTTAAATACAAATATTAAAAATTTTGGCCCATAGAAATTTCATATTGTATATCTTTTATTATGATTTAAAACTAGATTAGGTGTTTTAATTTGGTGACTTTTATTCATTTGCCAATTGATGGTTTAAAGATCCAACTGCTCAAGATAATTGTTATTTATGTGGGAATTTCATTTAGAAAAAGTAGTTTTTGCTTTTCAAATAATGTATTTTTAAAAATAAACTGTTCTCAGATAATCTATGTAAATACATTATTTTTAGTAAGTCTTCAAAATATGCCCTTTACCTCCTTTGAGGAGAAATGGAATTTAGAAGAGATGAAAGTAAACTGGAAAGGGTCTCTATTACAAGGGCCTTTCTTTCCATTATAAAAAATGTTTACAAGGCTTCAAAAAAGGAGTTAAAAACCAAAAATTTTTAATGTAGATTATTTTAGAGTGCTTAGCATTATAAAAGTTACTCTTTACTATTAGTAAATTGACTGGTACTACTAGATTGCTAGTATTACAAATTATTGTAAAAATAAATTTCACACTAATATTTTAGAATTCTTTATTGGTTAGTCTGATAATATTAGGAAATGAGCCATACGTAAATTGGGTGTTGATGCCTACCAAGGTACAGAAATGGGTCAGGATTTAACCTCAGCTCTCAGAGTTATTTGGGGAAAATAATCTGGTCATCTCCATAATTCAGTAATTCAAAACATGATAAATGATCCTTTATAAGAATGAATATTAAAACATTGTTAATCAGAATCTCAATATATTACTCTATTAGAGAAAGCATTCTTCCACAGAAATTTCATGTCACATGAAATGTCATTTTTCATTTAACCAATTGATGGCTAAATTGTCCTGGTTGTTGATTCTCTTGTTCCTGTGCTCACTTCAGTCTTTGTGTTTTTAGTGATTTAGCCCTGCGGAATTGTTTTCTTACCTCGGATTTAAATGTGAAAGTGGGAGATTATGGAATAGGATTTAGCAGGTACAAGGTAAGCCAAAGGTTTAAGAATTCTCACCTTAATCTAAGTTCATTTCATTACTCATGAGGTGATAATGTCGTAAAATGCCACTCCGTTTTTTTGAAGAGAGGCTAACTTTATGGTTGTGGTGCATTTCTGCAGAGAAGTTTATTCCAGTTATTTTATTGGGAGTATTGATGTGCAATGGAAAGTTGTCTACTCAGCAACTTTGCACTCAAGGTTTTGCGACAGCTTTTCAAATGCTTTGTTTAAAACGGCTTTATACACAGTGTAAGTGCTATTGTTTGATGGTGGCTGATAAATTTTAGAGCACACGAACAATTAAAATTACCACTTGTGTAATAAAATATGCAAGCCATAAATTTTTCTTGATTACATGTTCAGTAAAATTTTCATTCAGATGCAGTTAAGAATGGGATTGGATTTCCTTCCTTTCCCCCTCCCCAGTTTATTGAGGTAATTGAATACAGGCCTGGGATGAGTCACTTAGCCTCTATTTTCTAAGCATGGAGATAATATCTGTCTTGTTTTCAGGTTCTTGGGAGGACTACAGAGTCATATTTTCAGAGTACTTTGTAACAGAAAAAATATGAAAACAAAGTGGTTATTTGGCTCCTTACAGTATCTTGAATTCTAGATGTCTACCAAACACTGGAATACTTACCTACATTATCTCATTTTCTCCTCATAAAGAGAGGTAGTATTGTATCGTCCTTACTTCATAGTGGGGAAAAAGGCTCAGCGTATTTGTTGCTTGCTCCAAATCCCACAGCTCATGAATGAGAACTTACAATGCAGTCTGTCGGGTTCCAAAGCCTTTGCTCTTATTCATTAGCCATTCCCCTACTGGGGGCATAAACCTAATGTATTTTAGAAGATGTTTTGCTCAGAGTCTGTGTTCTGTGCATCAGACACGACATACCTTCCTTTTCCAGGAAGGATGACTGAGCTTGTGTTTATGGCTTAGAGCCCAGCACATGAAGCCCCATGAGGTTACAGAGAAAGTCTCATCTACTTTGTACCCAGTCTCCTTCATGCCCAGTTCTTTTTAAGATATGTTTTTGGGATTTAGTGTGTTTTCTGAGAATAACCTGAAAACAAATCATTGAGCTTACCAAAATTATGAATGGAATTCAAATTATGTATGTTTTCTAACAAAACAGGAGGATTATATTGAAACAGATGATAAAAAAAATTTGCCTCTGCGATGGACTGCTCCAGAATTAGTAACCAGCTTTCAAGACAGACTACTAACTGCAGATCAAACTAAGTATAGTAATATCTGGTACGTATTGATTTACCTGCTTAATAGGCTTGTGTTTACCAAAGTCCAAACTTCTTTTTTCCTTGAGTACTTTCTTAAGGGAAAGTAACTGAATAAGATGGAGGGACAAAAGCAGACCTGATGGTGTGGAAAAGGCAGTTTACTGACATCACAGCCGCTATCACAACTGCAGCGATATAACTAACCTTTTAAACACCACCTCCCTTACTCTTTCAACAGAAGGAAGTTCCCTAAAGGCAGAAACCACTGTTATCTGTGCCTGTCACAGGACCTGTCATACATAGATAATTTTTGAAATGATATTTATTTGAAATTAATGAAAAAACAAAATGGTTTGGACTATTACATTTAGCTATGATTTATAGGAGATCAGTTTAATAGACATCAAAAGGATGTACCTAAGTCTTTAATAATTTCTGTTACAGCTTTCTTCATTTACGTCTACATTGTTTGTGCTGTTGTCCTGTTTTGTTTTGAATTTTCATTTTTAGATGCCACCTTTTGGGCTTTGGTTTTTTGTTTCTTTTTTTAACCTCTTAGTTTGGGAGCTGTATACTCTATTCCTGTGCTTTTATTAGTTTCCCTACAGTTATAGCATGTATATTTCACTTGTCTTAATGTAATATTACTTTATGTCTTGGGCCCTCTTTCTGAGCAATAAAAGGACCTCAAAATACTTTATTTGCTTTGACTCAGATTAACTATACACACACCACACATACACATGTACAAACACACACACAAATATATTACTATTGCTGGGTATTTTACTTTTTATTTTTAACTCCACAAGATGATGTTATTGTTTTTTAGCATCAGTGTTTGTTTAGGTTGACCACATGATCAAATCACTTTGCTCTTCTTCTTCTTCTTTTTTTTTTTTTTTTTTTAACTTTAACCCCAGTCTCCCATCTGGGAGCACTCCTTTTTCCTGAAGTATGTCCTTGAGAATTCCCTTTAGTCCAGATCTACTGGTAATAGACCATCAGTTTTGTTTTTTTTTTTTCATCTCCGTAGGTCCAAACATACTTTTATTTTGTCCTCATTCTTGAAATGTTTACTTAGTTTACTTGATGACAGTTATTTTCTCTCAGCACATTGAAGATATCATTCTACTGTCTTCTGGCTTCCATTGTTGCTATTGAGAAGTCAGCTGTCAGTCTACCTAAGCTCTTTGAAGGTAATGTGACCTTTTCTCTCTGGCTCTGGCTGCTTTTAAACCCTTTTCTTTGTCCTTTTTTTTTTTTGTAGTTCACTATGATGTATATGGGTGTGAATTTCTTTTGTTTTTCTGCTTGGGATTTATTTGGCTTTGAAATCTATAGGTTGATGTTCTCAGCCCTTATCTTCAAGTATTGCTTTTGTCCCATTTTCTCTCCTTTTGAAGGTCTACTTAACTAGACAAGTATTGTGCCTTCTTGTGCTGTTTTCTGTTTCTTAATCTCTTGTGTAGTCCATCTCCTTGACTCCTCTATGACACACTCTACCTAACTTTTCAGATCTGTGCTCCAGCCACTAATTCTCTTTTTTTGGAAATCCCTCTTCAGCTATGCCTATTCTTCTGTTAAATCTCTCCATTTAACTTTATACTTAAGATTCCTCCCCGCCCCCAGTTTAAGAGGTTTATTTATTTTTTTAATAATTGAGTTATGTATGATCTGCATCAGATAATTCCAGTATCTCAAGTTTTTGTGGGTTTGATCTTACTGCTCCTTACTGGTTTCTTGTTTCCTTGGAGAATTTTTTTTTGTCTTAGGAACCTCTAGTTGAGGAACCTTCCTCTAGAGAGGATGTACATTTGCTCTGTTGGGCACCACATTAGTCCAGCACTTTACATATTCAGCATGACTTTTTTTTAGGTCACTGAGAAAATATGAATTTGGGCTGCAAGTCCCAGTAAAGGCCAGCTCTTTGGCTACAGCTTCTTAGGGACCCCTCCCAACTTACACACAGTTTAGACACACTCACACTCACTTACAGAACCTCAGTGCCAAGGTCACATAGACAACTTGTCTTTCAGGCACTTGAAGTGAAGTGGGATGAGGTCTCTCTATGAGACCCATTGCCTTGGGCAGACTCAGAACTTTGGCCTGTCCACCACCATTACCACTGTTAAGTTTTGTGAACCAAAAACAGAAGCACAACTTCTGTGTTTTCAGCAGATGTCCCAGGGTAAACGTGATTTTAGGGGTTCTGCTAGATCTCTAAGCCCTAGGTTTTACCCATGTCCATTTCCTGCTCTTACCTGCTCTTTGAATCTTTAAAAAGATACATTCCTGTACCTCATCCGTTTACTGTTCTTTACAGGGAGGTAGACCAGAAACTTAGCCTGCATTCCCAAGGACAGAGCTACCCTTTTTATCTGACAGTCTGAAAAGTGTCTAGTGACAGAACCAGCCGCAGAAGTAGGGGCTTCACTGCCCTGTGCCAGGGTGAGCAAGAGCATCTTTTCCTTGCTGAAGAAAAGTAATAGTTACAGGATTTATTTTTTTCCTCCAGAAGGAAAAGGCCTGATGATATTCATGGAGGCAAGAGCCAGTGTGAGGTGAAGGGTTGAATAGACAGAATAAGTGGAGATGATCTGTGGCACTTGTCCCAGGGAGACAGAATGGTAGTTAGATTGGAAAGCTCCAGATAGGGATTGGCCTTGGAGTGGAGACCCTCAGCCCTCCCTGTGGCCTGTTTGACAAGATAAGAAAGGGACTCTCAGGAAAGATATGAGGAGTGGTGGGGTGAGCAGTTGAGAAAACCCAAAGTTACAGGTTCTCTGAAGAATAGGGTGAGACAGGCTGGAGAGGGATTTGGTTTTGGGGTGGGCCTTATTGGGAGGAATTAAATTGGGGATTTGGAGAAGTTAAAAACAGGTTGAATTATATGCCCAAGGTCAAACCACTCTTGATGGTGATAAGACTCGTTTTGCCACTGAAAATACCACCTTTTGAGTGAAAATTTTTTCCTCATTTAAATTATAAAATCCCTAAAGTCACTTAACCTTGTTTTTTGTACAAAATAGCCCTAATGCTAGCAATTCTGTGCCAGATTGAAGACGCTTCTCACTTTTTGAATTGATTGGGAAATTTGGGTTGTTTTATTTCCTTTGATAGAAATGGTCTTTCAACTTAGATACAGAATATGGTGATTTTTTTTTTTCGTTGAAAAAAAATTGTGAAATTGGACCCTCTCTGGTGGTGCAGTGGATTTAAAACACAGCACTGTGAAGCTGTACAGTACATAGCCACTGGAGCAGGAGTTTGACCCCCAGCCAGGGAGCTGACCCACATGGCGCAGCAGACCTCTCCTGTCCTGCCCCCTGCTCCTCTCAGCAGTGTACTTCAGTCAGTCTGCTTGTTCTGCTCCCCACTCTGTCTCTGGTGAATCCTCTCACCTCCCACACTTTTGTCCTGTACCTTTATGTATGTATAAATAAATAAATCTTTTTTAAAAATTGTGAAATCAACATAAGGGAATTTAACTACTATGTTGTTATATGATATAACATAAATTGCCCAACACATTGTTTAATATTCAAATAAGCATCCTGGTGGGAATTGATGAAAGTCACATAAACTATCAATACTCAAACCAGGCTGGATATCAGAGTCACTAGGGAGCTTTTTGAAAATGCACTTTCTGAGGCAACCTGCATCTACCCACTAAGGAGTCCTGGGGATGGGTCCACAATACCAGTGTGTTAATGTAAAGCTTCCCAGATAGCACAGATGGTTAGCCAAGTTTAGGACCATTTCACTAAACTGAAGACTTTATTAAATGGCAGAGGTGTTCAGGAAACGCAGGGACTGCACGGAGGAGGTGAAGAGTAAGTATTCATCTATTTGGAGCAGCAGCTGCCACCTCCGTGAGGACAGAGCTATGGAATATGAAAGCAGGATGTAGAAGGCAGTATGTGGAAGGAACTTTCCTACCTGTAGAGGATGGCTGTATCCTGAAGACCTTGAGAGATCTGGACAGGTGGCCTCTTGTGGTGCAGAGTGCTGGAGAAGTCACGGAGGGAAGTTCCCTCATTAGAGCAACAACTCAGACTACTGAGGAATAAATGCCAGCAGAGGAGTATGGGTCTAGCAGGAAAAGATTGCTTGTCCATGAAATTTCTCTTTTAGATAATATTTTCTTGTTTACTGCTATTACAAATAGGATTTTTTTCCCCACCAAGAAAGCTCAGAATTCAGAATGTTTATCTTGTATCCAAAAGTTTTGAGAACTCTTAGATCATTCTAATAACCTTTCAAATAATTTCTTGAGTTTTCAAGTCGACACTCAACTTTTCCCTATGGTTATGCCTGATATCTCTGCTTTAGTTTTTTGCATTGGCCAGAACTATTGGAGTAGTGTTAAATACTGAGTATGAGGGAGGTATTCTTCTTGCACTCCTCATTTTAATAGAGACTACTCTTTTAAAAATCATGTCAAAGAGCTATCTTTAATAATCTTTCAGACATACCTCACCCTTAAAATTACTAATGACTATACCCCCCAAAAAAAGTGTGGATGTTGAACATTTGACATCTAAAGGGAGAAAGAAAGAACCATTTTTTTTCCCTCCCACAGGTCCCTGGGTGTGACGCTTTGGGAGCTTTTTGATAATGCTGCTCAGCCTTATTCCAACCTTTCCAACTTAGATGTCCTCAATCAGGTCATCCGAGAGAGAGACACCAAACTACCCAAGCCTCAGCTGGAGCAGCCTTATTCTGATAGATGGTTAGTGACTCCATGTTTTGTTTTACAGTCTTCAAAAAGTAAGCAAATCCTAATTCCATGGGTGTTGTTTATTTCCTTTTTTTTTTTTAAACAGTAGGTATTTGTGTATTATTTATGGCCGATCTTAGAATTAACATCTATTTTTAAAGCTTAATGGTATTTGTGAAAAATGTTTATTTAGAACAAGCGAGAATTTATATATGTAATAACATGCAGTAATTACATTATTTCTAGAGTCTGAAGTAATTAGAAAACTCAATATTAAAGGAATTTCCTATTATGGGATCATTTTCAATGAGGCTACATAATTGTTATCTAATATGTGAGAAAAGTGATAGCTAGAAATAATATTTAATTTGGCAGTTGAAGCTAATTTTCATCTTGTATATTGACATTTGCAAAACAAATTTACTTCTTTTTCAAATTTACAGTTTTGCCTCTTGGGACTAATTCTTACTCCATTTGTAATCAGGATCTGGTTCACCTCTCTTTAGACCTCTGTCTGTACTAACACATGCCCAGCCTCTGGGCATCCTGCATTTAGACACTGCTCAGTTGCCCAAGTTGCTGGAACTGTTTCATCCAGAGTTATAACTTGATGTGTACTTTAAAAATTTAATACTTAAAGGTTATCTTTGTTTTCCCCTTCTGCCAATGGCTTTAAGAAGTTGACCAGAATCAGCCACCCCTTTGAAAATTCAGCTTCTGGTGGTGCCTTCTCAGGACTCCATTCTCTACTCTTCTCCCTCTACTATCAGCTCCTCTTTAATTCTTAAGGAGACATGGAATGTTACTCTTTCTCAGGGCAATAGAGATTAGTTAAACTGTCTGAATTCTTGCAAAATAAAGCTGAAAACATTAGACAAGCACACTTGACTGAAGAAGGAGAGCATGTTAGGACTATTCCTACATTAGTGGCTAGGTCCCTTGAGAAACATCAGAAAAACAGATGGCAGGGCAAAAGAATTGTAGTTAGGCAATGCAGTGTCCTGAGAACATAAAAAATCAGTGGACCAAATGTTGTATTTCTTCATTTCTGCCTTCACCATGATCTCACCATGAACTGAACTTCACATGGTTGGTAATTAGTAAAGTGTAGGAACTTTTGAGGTGTTAAGTTGGCTTGAGAGTCTTTGTGATGTCATTTCTTTTAAGAAGTTTATGATTCCACTATTAATTACTCTTATGTAACACTCAGGTATGAAGTTTTACAGTTCTGCTGGCTGTCACCAGACAAGAGACCAGCTGCTGAAGAGGTGCATAGGCTGCTTACCTACCTGCGGATGCAGAGCCAGAGGGACTCAGAGGTTGACTTTGAACAGCAGTGGAATGCTCTTAAACCAAATACAAACAGCAGAGACACGTCCAATAGTGCTGCATTCCCAATTCTCGACCATTTTACCAGAGATCGCCTTGGTCGTGAAATGGAGGAAGTCCTCACTGTGACTGAAACGAGCCAGGGCCTGAGCTTTGAATATGTTTGGGAGGCTGCTAAGCATGACCATTTTGATGAACACAGTCGGGGCCACCCAGAGGAAGCCTTGTCCTACACAAGCATCTTCTTCCCAGTTGATGTCTTTGAGAGTTCACTTTCAGATCCTGGGCCTGGGAAACAAGATGGCAGTGGCCAGGATGTCTCCCTGAGGGCCCCCGGAGTGGTTCCAGTGTTTGATGCTCACAACCTTTCTGTTGGAAGTGACTATTACATCCAGTTAGAAGAAAAGAGTGGTAGCAATTTGGAGCTTGATTACCCACCTGCACTGCTCACGACTGAAATGGACAATCCAGAAAGAACAAGTGATAAGGCATCCCAGTCTCTGGCTCTCAGGAATCTTGAATTTGAGGAGACCAGTACAGATGAGGATTTCTTCCAAAGCAGTGCAGACCCCAAAGATTCCAGTGTACCTGAGGATACACATGCTGCCAGGGGACCTGACAGCCCTTTCAACAATATATTTAATGATCTTGACAAATCAGAGGATTTGCCCAGTCACCAAAAAATATTTGATTTAATGGAATTAAATGGAGTACAAGCTGACTTTAAGCCAACCACTTTAAGTTCAAGTTTGGATGATCCCAAGGAGTCAGCAATAACATACCACTTAGAGAAAGAAAAACCCCATAAGCTTTTTGACTGTGAGCCTCTTTGCTTATCAGAAAACCTTATGCACCAAGATAACTTTGACCCATGTAATATTCAGGAATTGTCAGAAAACTTTTTCTTTCTTCAAGAGAAAAAATTACTGAAAGATTCATTGTCTAGCAAGGAGCATGTAAGTGATCTTCAAACAGAACTTAAAAATGCTGGTTTTACTGAAACTGTATTAGAAACTCCATGTAGAAACTCTTTAACCACAGAGTTTAAGTTTGCTGAAAATAGGCCAGACTTTTCTTTGTTGCAGGAAAACATAAGTGTGAAAGGTAAAGATGCAGGGATCATTGAGGACAGCACCTTGACCACCTCCTTGCAGTCTTCCCTGGAATTTCAGGTGTCCCCTACCTCACTCAAAACCGACAGCATGCCACATAATGTACCTCCAGATATGTTCCTGAAGCAGGGAGAGACTGAGCCCGCTTGTTTAGATGTCAGTATCCGTGGAGACCACCTCTGCCAAGAAACAAGTCCAGATTCTGTCACCATCCCAACCAAAGTTCCCTCAACTGATGCTGGAACACATGGCACTGGCGACAGGTCTCCTGGGTTGACTCACCACTGTCAGGAGGCCCTGAGACGGACTGAAGCTGACTCACTTCTTGTTGATGACATTTTTGCCAGTAAGGTGAGTCTAGGGAGCAGTCTTCCAGAACTGAGGCAGGATGCACAAAATCAGTCACTTACAGAAAATCATTCCAGTAACAGTCTGCTGGAGAAGAACTTGGAAGCTGTGGAGACTCTGAATCATCTGAATTTGAAAGATGCTACAAAAGAGGTGGGCTTGACATCTGCCCTTTCCTCAGATTCTACCAGTCAGGACAGCCTTTTAGAGGACAGCTTGTCAACACCTATTCCGACTTCAGAACAGTCTGTGGAGACCCCTGACTCTCTGGACTCAGTGGATGTCCATGATGTTTTATTGGGGTCTTTAGGCACTCACACTCCTCAGAAACTCCTGCCCCCTGACAAGCCTGCAGACAGTGGCTATGAGACAGAAAACCTGGAGTCTCCTGAGTGGACTCTGCACCCTGCTCCCGATGGAGCCTCAGCCTCTGACTCAGCCACGGCCTGTGATTGTGGTCCCGACAGTTTACCTCCCAACCCCATCATCGTCATTTCAGATGCAGCTGACGGCCACAGAGGTACAGAAGTGACCTCACAGACTTTTGCACTTGGCTCCCAGAGCTCCTACCGAGACTCTGCTTACTTCTCAGATAATGATTCTGAACCTGATAAGAAGTCCGAGGGCGTCCCAGCAACTTCAACATCAGCTGCAGTGTTGCTTACGGATCAGCCACTGCCTGAACCAGTCATCCTCGAACAGAGCCTGGAAACCAAAAATAGTCTTCCAGACCAAAGTTGTCGGGCTGCTGTGCAGCTTTCCAGTCACCTAGAGTTAGGAGAAACAACAGAGCCAGTACCCAGTGACATTTCTAAACAGACACATCCTCCTGAAGATGAGGTGGGAAGTCCTTTGTTGAACTTGGAGCTGAGCAGCAGCGAGGACTTCGAGGCACAAGAGGATCACCCCTGCATGCTGGCCTCCACTGGAACCAATACTAACGAACTCCTCGCCTTTGCAAATTCCACCCTCCACGCTGGTAGCCCAGCAGAACTCATGACTGATAAGTCCTTTTCTGGCCACTCTGAGGGCCCTAAGTTGAAAGAGCCAGACATTGAAGGGAAATACTTGGGTAAACTTGGTGTGTCGGGGACACTTGACCTCTCTGAGGATGGAATCGATGCCGACGAGGAAGATGAAAACAGCGATGACTCAGATGACGACTTGCGAGCATTCAACCTGCACAGCCTCAGCTCAGAGTCAGAGGACGAGACAGAGCACCCTGTGCCTGTGATCCTCAGCAATGAGGATGGGAGGCACCTCCGGAGCTTGTTGAAACCCTCGACCTCTGTTGCCCTTGATCAGTTGCCTGAAGACTGGAAAAAAGAAAAGAAAGCTGTGACGTTTTTTGATGATGTCACAGTTTACCTGTTTGACCAGGTATCTTATTTCTGAATTGTCATAGTAGAGAACTCCAAAATGTGTTGGAAAATTGAGTGTGACTTGTTTTCCTGATTGCCATTTTGGGGCTACAGATTTTTTTTTTAAAGATTTATTTATTTGTGCATACAGAACTGGGGTACAGGCCAGAGGCTCATGGGCAGCAAGAGGCTTTACCAGAGACAGAGTGGGTAGCAGAACAGGCAGATCGACGAAGTACACTGCTGAGGGGAGCAGCGGGCGGGTCAGGAGAGGTCTGCCACACCATGTGGTCACCTCCGGGGCAGGCGGGAATCGAACTCATGCGGAAGCGGCTTTAAATTCTCAGTGCTGTGCTTTAACCTGCTGCGCCACCAGGGAGGGCCAGCTACAGATTGTTTTATAATTACCAAAAAGAAAGTAATCTGGGGTTAGTGCCAGTTCCAGCCCTAGAGTTCACGTGTGTGGTGGAAAGAAGCAGTGTGATCTCAACCTGGTAGTCTGAAGTCACCCGTATGTTCTGTTTTCACTAGCAGTGTTACGTGTTATTCATTCATCTGTTGACTGGCTTGGCATGTATTGTTTTCATGATTTTTAATTTTTTTTTTTAGTAATTGGTAAAATTGACCCTTTCGTAACCATTATGTGAGTGTTAATATTCATGTGACTGCCCCACAGTTGTGGTACAGAACACTTCCCTTGATCTGTGCTCCTTCCTTGTCCCATCTGCCCTCTGTTCCTCATCCCCAGCACCATGATGTGTTCTCAGTCACTTTAGTTTTGTCTGTAAGAATGTCTCCTGAATGGATTCATAAGCCATATAACCTTAGGCTGACTTTTTTCACTTGACAAATAATTCCCTTTGAGATCAACCAATTCTTGCTTACAGCATGAGTTCCTTCCTTTTCATCACTGAGCGATATTCTGGGGTCTGGATACGTCCTAATGTGTTTAACCATCACCCATCAAAGGACATTTGGGTTTTTCCACTTGACAGCACAAGTAAAACTGCTTTGAAAGCTTTGTATAGGTTTGTATGTGTAGGCATGAATATTTCTTTTTCTGGGCTAGTTGCATAAGAGTATGATCGCTAGGTATGATATGTGCAGGTTTAGTTTTGTAAGAAAGACAACAGCTTTCCAGAATAGCTGTTCCATTTTACATTTTCCCACTATGCCTAACAGATCCAGCTTGCCTGCGTCCTTGCCAGCATTTGGCATTGTCATTATTTTAACTTCTCTAATAGATACCCAGAGTCTTAAGTTACATTTCCCTGCTGGCTAGTGGTGGTGCATGTCTTTTTGAGAGTTAGTTTGCTGCCTGCACATCCTCTTTAATGAGATGTCGCTTCTTTTGCCTGTTTACTGATTGGATGGTTGTGTTTTTACTCTTGAGTTTTGAAAATTCTTTATAAACTCTAGGTTTGTGTCCTTTGTCATATACATGGTTTGGAAATATTTCTCCCAGTCTGTAGCTAGTGTTTTACAGAGCAAATTTTTTTTTAAATTTGGATGAATTCCAATTTATTGATTCCCCCCCCCCCACATTTTTTGGTGTCATGACTAAGAACTCTGCCAGCAGCTGGATCCCAAATAATTTCTTAAGTTTTGTGGTTTTCCATCTTTCATTTAGATCTGTTACACATTTTTGAATTAATTTTTGTGTAAGGAATGGGGCTTAGGTTGGGTTCACTTTTTCGTATTTGGATGGGTGTCAGTTTCCGTCACCATCTGTTGAAAAGGCTATTCTCTATCCATTGAATTGCCCTTTTCCTTCTCTGCAAGATTGATTTGTCTTTTTGCAGTTCCTTTAATTTTTTATGTACATTTTAGAATCAACTTATCTATACTTACAAAAAAACCCTCCTTACATTTTTATGAAAATTGCTAAAACTTATAGGCCAATTTGGGGAACAATTGACATCTTTACTATGTTGTCTTCCAATTCATGAATATAGTATGTCTCTCCACTTATTTAGATTTTATTTCTGTTTTTTAGTTTTCAGCATGTAGATCCTCCATGTGTTTTGTTAGATCTTACCGTAGTATTTTGTTTCTTGAACTATTATAAATAATATTTTTAAAATACTGGTTTCCATTTGTTCCTTGCCAGTTTATAGCAGTGTGATGAATTCTTGTGAATTGACTTTGTGCCCTGCAACCTTGCTACTCACTCATTCTAGCAAGGTTTTGGGGGGTGGTTGTTTTTTGAAATTTTTTTTGGAGTTACTTACACAAACAGTCATGTTGCTTGCAATAGTTTAAGGATGTTTGTTTCTTCCTTTCCAGTTTGTAAGTTCTTTATTTACTTATTTTTTTCTTACTAGCTAAGATTTCTAGTACAAGTAGGTGTGATATGTATATATAAGACATCCTGGCCTCGAACACAGTCCTAGGGGAAAAGTATTCAGTCTTTCACCATTGATTATGATGTAGCTATTTTTTGGTAGAAGCTCTTTATCAAATATGAAGACCCAATGAAAGAAATTTCTCTCTTATTAGTTTGAGAGAATTTTATTCTGTGGACAGATGTTGAATTTCATCAAGTGCATTTTTCTTTAGTTTATTGATTTTCTTATATCATTGTTTAAGTGCATTTTTTTCTTTTTAAAGATTTATGCATGCATGCAAGATCTGGGTTGTAGGCCAGATGTGCAGGGGGTGAGTAGATTCACCAAAAAGAGTGGGGAGCAGAAGAGGCAAATTGACTGAAATACACTACTGAGGGGAACAGCAGGCAAGACAGGAGAGGCCTGCTGGCCCATGTGGGTCATTCCCTGGCTGGGGATTGAACTTGTGCTGCAGTGGCTGTGGGTAGCTTCATAGTGCTGAGTGCCTTTGCACCACCAAGGAGGCTTTGGTGCATTTTCTACATTAGTTGATAGGAGCATGTTCTTCTATTACTATGGTAGATTCCTTTGATAAACTTTCAAACTTCAGACTTATTTGCCTTCCTGGAATAAAGACCTCTGAGTTCTGAGGAGTTGGTTTTGTTTTTTTTTGTTTTTTTTTTTTTTCTTGTTATATGTTACTGGGTTTGATTTGCTTACAGGTTGAGAATTTTTGTGTCTCTAGTCATGAGGTCCATTAGTCTAGTTTGGAGGGGGTCCTTGCTTGTTAGGCAGTTTTTTGTTTTTTTACTTTCTCATTTGTACATTGTCAGGTTTTGGTATCAAGGGCATTCTGGCCTCATAAAATGTGTTGTAAAATATTATGTCCTCTTTCTGGAAAGTTTGTAAAGATAGCTTATTCTTTCCAAGGAACTAATACTAATTTCATGGAATTTTCTTTCTGTTTTTTGTTTTTGTTTTCAGTTTTGCTGCCTTTTCTTTATTATTTCCTTCTCTCGTGTTAGATTTATTTTGTTCTTTTTTAGATGCTTAAGGTAGAAATTTAGGATTTGACACCTTTCCTGTATTATGCAAATACTTACAGCATGTAACACGGCAGTGGTCACTCTCTGCTACTTTAGTTGCATCCCACACATTTTAATATGTTGCATTTTCATCAGTTTAGAATGTTTTATAATTTTGCTTGAGACTTCCTCTTAGACTCATGGACTACAAATACTGTTAAATTCCCAAAGGTTGGAGATTTTCTTGTATCTTTCCATTATTGATTTCTAGTCAATTACACTTTTCATTAGACCACCCATGATGGTCAAAGATCCTATTTTTATGTGTTTTCAATTCCTTTAGTTTGTTTTAGAGTCCGGATATGGTCCCTCTTGGCGAATGTGTCACATGTACTTGAAGGAATGTGCCTTTGGCTTTTTTCTGGGCATATTGTCCTGTCAGTGTCATTTACATTTGGTTGACGTTGTTCAGTTCCATATTATTGCCGATTTTTGTCTGTCCTCCCTATTGCCAAGGGGAAGTATCGAAATTTCCAAATATAATTTTGAACTTGTCTATCTTTTCATTTCTCTCAGTTTTTGTTTCATCTGTTTTACAGCTCTGTCACTGCATACACATATAAGATTATTGTATTTCTCTGTTGAAATGACCATTTAATCATTATATGATGTCCTTCTTTATGCCTTTGTCTAATAGTCTTACATCAATTATGAAAATGTAATACGAAGCTACTTCAGCATTCTTTTGATTGACATTTGTATGATGTATCTTTTCTATCCTTACACTTTTAATCTACCTATATCATTATATGACATTAGCTTCTTGTAGAAAGCATATTTTGGGTCATATTTTTAAGTCTTTTCTGAAAAGCTGTGTCTTTTAATTGGTGTTTTTAGACCTCTTAAATTTAATATAATTACTTATATGTCTGGACCTGATTTGTGCCTTTTTTTTTT